ACCCCGACCAAAGAAGTACAGATACCTCGACACTCGCCTTGCCCTACTGAAACAGAGATTGGAGAACAACACCATCGACAGTATGACCTACGTAGACGCAGCATCCCAGCTTATTCACTTAGGTTGAATTGACTTTATACATAGAACTCTGTTAAATAGAACCAAGTGGACAGTGCTGTGATTTTATAACTGTGTGTTTTAATCTCGGGTGATAATCATTAGTGCTGTTTGTTTCACACTGAGATGTATGAGAAATGATTTGTCATTTTTCTTTTATTTAATGTGCATCAGCATAAGGCAGATGACCGTATTGTATCTATGTAAATATCTGCTCTATATTAGTAAGTTGAAGTGTAGCTATTTTCATATTAATATTTGATCTCCTGTATGCAACTAACAACTTCGTAATGTACTGACTAAGTTTCATTATTTAATATATTTTAAAATATATTATGTCTTTCACTGTTTTATTTGTATTTTATGTAAACAATATAACGATATTAAGTGAATTTATCAAATAAAAATATTCCACTGGATATTAATGTCTTGGTTTTCTTTCACATTGATAATGAAGATCAACCGTTAAAATATATTAAAACCCAGCTGTGAAGTCATCTAATGTTGTATTGGTCCATTATATTGCATAATGGACACCTAGAAGTCCATTATTTAACGGGACAGTCCATTATTTTTTCCAATAATGGACAGTCAGCGCAGAAACAAAACTCAAAAACACTGATATGAAAAGTAAACATTTTAATATAAACCAAACATGTCTTATCGTAAACATTCTAACAGAAAAAGAATAGACACAATTATTTCATATATAGTATTTGGTCTACATTCCTTCCCTGCCTCATTACGTACTTCCGTAATAAAGAAACACAGGGCATCTGACATTTCTTCAGGTTCCATTTCCATTAATAGCTCACTAAAATTTTGTTCACAGTCCTTGTTTGCTCTCTGATTTTGCCACTTATAGGATAAATTAACCGCCCACCATGCTTTGTTTTCAGTTTGGAATCTAGTACTCTCCTTTCCATTGCTCTTAATGTCTGAATTTTCCATATGCATAGATGCTTGTACTAACAAATCATCATCAGACGAAATGTCAGAAAATAAGTAATTCTTTAATGTTAAAACAGGGCACGTATTCTTTCTCCATGTCAATTGCTCCACTAAAAACTTCATCAGTATCAGCTTCACAGCAAGACACATCTCTAAATGAAGATTGTGTGAGGAACAACTCATGGTCGCTGTCTGACATGATATTGGCTCATCTAGTGTATAATGAATACTGAACACTCAGATTGCATGCAGTGTCAACCTGACCTTTCCATTATGTGTCACGGGTGGCTGAACACATTTCTATTACTGCATGGGCATGTGCTATTTCTGATAAGGGTAAGAAGGCTAGGAGTGTGCTAGGTTTTAAGTAGGATAAAGTCCTCCAGCTGTCTATTCTTTGAAATAATGGAATGGACAAGGCCGTAGTCCATTATTTCAAAGAATAGACAGCTTTCGGACATCATCCTTTACGTACATATATGAGACAAACTTTTTACCTGTAATAATCACAGGTAGATATACAGGTGAAATATATGAGGAAAACATAGTACATATATGATACAATCTATAACTACCCTCCCTTTGATGTTTCTACCTATTGTTCTCAATATGTGTGCGTTCAGGGAGCACATCCCTTGCGGTACACTACGGTTGTCTTAAAATTATTTCGGAAAGCCGCGTGTGGCTTCGTTCATAGAGGGTTACAGGGAGATTTTGGCCAGCGTACGGCTGTCTTACAGACCTAGAAACATTTGCTAGTCCACTGGTAAGCTATATATTTCAAATAACTTAATATTATTATCACTGTTCATTGTTTTTATGTGATAAAGAATAATTGAGCATGTAACAGGAAAATTAGGTAACAGTCTTGTTGTTGTGTGTTGTATGATTCTTTGATAAAAAATTGACATGAATCAACAACATGAGTATAAATTATATTGCGTTTTATCGGTATGTATTTTTAGGCAAAGTGCCTTCCACATTGATCATGGTAAACGGGGCGGTATATGCTTGGTTTGTCCGACTGATGGGTAAACGGGACGTTATATGCTTGGTTTGTCCGACTGACGGTTAAACGGGGCGTTATATGCTTGGTTTGTCCGACTGACGGGTAAACGGGGCGGTATATGCTTGGTTTGTCCGTTTGACGATCCATCCGAACATGCTTCATCATGTTAGACTTCACTCAGCTCAATTGCACTGACACTGGTGTCCGAATTTCATTATTAATCTTCATATGCATTACAGCAATATATGAAATGTAGGTCGCTGTGACCTATATTTTCAGCTAAATTATATTGACTTAAGTTAGATTCTGCGTTAGTTCTACTTCCAAGGCAACAGACAATTTCTGGTTGTGTATGCCTGGTATATATACCCTAAACTCCGTGGACACTCTGATATGTTTAATACATCGCTACCCTTCATAAATACTTTGTATGTATATTCTGTGAAAATATATATATTAACTGCGAAGCTAGAAGCTGGTCAATAATATAGCAGAATATAACACAAACTTGGTTTGATGTCAACTCATCCAATTGTTTTTTAGATGACCGTTTGTTGTTTGAGTTTTACTTTTCTAAATAAATTCCAGCTATTTCTGTTAGAGTACTGCTGTGTACATGTTCATTGTCATCGTATTTAGATATGTAAAACCACAACAGATTAGACATTCTCCTATTTTACATATATAATGAAATCCATAGCTATTTGCAGCACATTATATAATATAAATATATAAGAATGGTAAATATTTACACTCCGTTCTGGGTTAAGATATTTACACCGGGCAATGTCAGAATAGGGAAAATCTCTTTATTGTTTATAATCGGACGTTTTCCTTACATATTACTATATACTCGGACGTTTTTCTTACATATTACTGTACACTCGGGCGTTTTCCTTACATATTACTGTATACTCGGACGTTTTCCTTACAAATAACTGTATACTCAGACTTTTTATTACAAATAACTGTATACTCAGACTTTTTATTACAAACTACTGTATACTCGGACTTATACCTTATGTATTTCTTGATAATATATATAATTATATAAACTTGATGTATGCTTAACAACAATGGTTATGATTTAATACTTGACACATCTATTAGTTTTATATCATGTATCTTTGTGCATGTGTGCATTTTATAAATATGATTGATTTGATCAACCAGTGCTAAGTATTCCATGTGTACATGTAATTAATTTTGTTTTATTTATTTTCATTCCCAGCTTTGCATCTGTTTTTGCATATTTAATAATGTAATACATAATCTCTTTCTTTACTGATTATATTTGTCATAAATTGCTTGCTAAATTTAGTTCTATTTAAGAAATATATATATATAACATACATGAAAAGGTATAGTAAAAATGGAAAAAAATGATTTAATACGAAATTAATAAAAGCAGGTTTTCAGTTAATGTATTTTGATGTGTTTATACTAAGTAATAACTGGAATCTTGTATATATTTATTCATAATTCCAGTAAATATTAGGAAAATCAGGAAATATATTTGTTAAATATTCCTATAACCAACACAGTATTTCCTATTGGTGAACAGGTAAGTACAGGTAAATAATCTACCTGTACTATGCAGTACAGGTATTATATAAACACTGGAAAACAACAGAGGTGTCATTATAGTCTGTTCGACTATAATGACACCTCAATTGTTTTCCAGTGTTTATATATTTCCTTTGATCAGAAATAAGTGGGAGAAAGGAGAACAAACCAACGCTATATATGTATGGGCCCAAAATCCTTCGATCAGACAAAGATAACAATGGTCCTAGACGTTTTTACCTAGTGGGGAAAAGTATAAAAACAACAATGAAGTTCTACAATAACATTCGTCTGTAAATTATATCTTAAGACCACAATGCAAGATACTAAAACAACAACAAATACTGTAATCTTCGATTTAGTAAACGCTCCGGTCCCCGACAATCTTCTTAAAATAAAATACGTCGACACTTAAGGTTAGTATATACTCTCATTAAATGTCTTTTAGATCGATAGGTATTTCAAACTGATCGATGACGTCTTAGCCAATATATTTGTACATAGAGAAGAACTAATGTCAATTGGGAATACATGTATATATGTCAGGAGGTTACAATACAGGGTAGGATTTAAATATCCTGGGGTTCGGTATACCGGGTGTTTCCTCCCATTATATATAGAACGACGACACACAATAATATCAGAGATCGCTACGGCTTTTACATGTTACGTAACACGGACGGTGTTGTTATCGACCACCGAACATAAATAATATCTATTTACGTATCATCTCTTGAATTTATCTATTGTTCAAGCAACTACGTATACGGTTTCACGAGAATCTGCTGATGATCCGGTCTGTACGAAGTACATGATCCGTGGGCACTGAGTAACACCACAGATGACACTATGTTAATTGTGGTGAACCCAAATATATAATAGATTGCGAATAGGCATCGGTTCTGTATAACACACGAGACATGTACACATTATACACTCATCAATGGTGCAATCAAGGAGGATTGGGTGTCGGGGTACCCGGTGTGATACTGTAATAGTGGAACCTGACTTTCGCTGTGTGGAAATGTTGGCGTTTTTAGCGTTGGGTAAAATATCCACATACGTATGTATCTTAATAGATTTATTATGTTTAGAATATACATTTGGCTACGCGGTAGTTTCAACACTATAAATAATTTAAGAATCACACAACGCGAACATTTCTACACACGAGAATTTCCACTTTTACAGAAAAAAATATTTACCCGTATTCTTTTAAGCTTTTCAACGAAAACAGTCATGAAATTATTTATTATTTATCCACAGAAACAACAATATGCTGTCAATGTTAAAGAAAATAACGACAGGATTGGTCACAAGTGTCCTTGTTTTACTGTTTTTACTGTTCGCTTACAACATGCAAAAACTGGATCCGTTATCAGCAGGTCAAAAATATAACGAACGTGTTTTGTCCTGGACCACCACCCCGCAAATCATCTCACGGACCCCAGCAGATCAAGGATCCAAAGAATCTGGTCCAGTTCCTAATCAAAGCGTCTCACGGACCCCAGAGGATCAAAGATTGAATAAAAACCGTCTAGGTCCGAAAGAAAGCGTTTCAGGAACTACAGCAGATCAAAGATCCAAAAAGCCCGGTCCGCCTCTCCAACAAAGCGTCTCAAGGACCCCGGGAGTTGGACGATCCAAAGAACCTGTGAATGTTTCTACTGACAGAACATCATTGGCACTTAATACCGTAAGATTGGTACTGGGAAATGTAGAGAATTTTGTTTGTGTTTTACGTCCTATTAACAGCTATGGTAGCTAAATAGTAGATTCGATAGATAACGCAACGAAATCAATACATATGTAGAAACATATTTGCTTATACATATTTTAGTTTATGTTAATTCATGATTCGCAAGGACGGACCACTTTTTACGCGGAAGCATTCAAACAAAGCTTAGTGGTGAATATGCCATATTTATCATAACTATTTGAGGCCACAGACGGTATACTTGCAGACTTCAAATCGAAATCGAATAGTTATTCAAACTTAAAGGTGCGAGAAAAAATAAGTACCTCGGGTAAAGATTCTGTAACATCCTGAACTCGGCTAGTTTCTCGTTTGGGATTATGTTACAGAATTTAGCAATCAAATGAGAAAACATGATCTCGCTCAGTTACATGTAATACATTTTATTAATCTTTCGTGGTTATTCCAGGTGGGATATCTGTATAGATATATTGTATTATTGTCATAATATGCTACAAAACATATAAACACTATTCAAAGGTTTTTAACGGCTTTACAAAACAGTGTCAACGCGAAATCAGTCTCTTTTCATCCTTTTCATATCATTCAAGAAAACAATTGGATTCTCGTTTTACAGACGTACCGATTTAAGTGTATTTGTATACTACAGCAATACAAAGGGGAGGATATTCTCCAAAGGGAAGCACGTCTAGACACTGCCCAAAAGATCGGTGCAGCACAACATAAACAAATCCGCCAGATTATCCAGAACAATCTGAAGGATGTAGACGCCGAGAGCTTGGGGAGGATGCCGGTGGAAGAGATATCTGAGATTTACCATAGGTATGTGTAAGACTTAAATAGTCGCATTTCCCCTTTAGTCTGGTCACAATCATCTTAACATTTTACATGGTTTTAGGCTCCTTTTCATTGTTCCTGTACTTTCGAAACACTTTAGACATGGCGTTTCTATTTGTGGACCTTTAGTACAACTGATAAGGTCCTCAATAGACGAAATAGCCAGGTGGTGTTGTAACGCTTTATTAGGGCTTTTGCATCTATAAACAAATTTTAAAATATGTGTTTCATTTCTTCGTAATTCAAGTGATTATTTTACGTGAAAAGGTGATTGACTCTGCTAGCGGACTTTCAGTGCCCGTCGCTCGCCGTAACCTTGCATCTGGATTTCATTCAGGCATGATTGCCATAACTACTAGATCACGTGTGGTAGCTAGAAGTGTAAAAAGTTGTAACGTTGTAAAAAGTGTGAAGACACCTTTACCTTTCCTTTTAATGTATTCTACAGAAGTTTTAAACATTTGAACACGGTTATATGTAATCTTTTGACATCTAGTACCACTAGTTTGTCCTAATTATTTAGAGAAAGCGACCGTATAGAACTGTAAAAAGAAGTTTCTTTATTTGGCTTTTATAATATATATATAATATATTGAATATCTATAAACTAAAATCTTCAAATACGTGCTTCATTTCTACTTATTTCTGATCAAGAATATAGAAACTCTATCAAATATATACACTATCAAACTTATAGAAACACTATCAAATATATACACTATCAAACTTATAGAAACACTATCAACTATATACACTATCAAACTTATAAAAACACTATCAAATACCTACACTATCAATAATATATAAACACTATCAAATATAAACACTGTCAAATATATACACTTTAAACTTATAGAAACACTATTATATATATACACTATCAAACCTATAGAAACACTATCAAATATATACACTTTCAAACTTATAGAAACACTATCAAATACCTACACTTTCAAACTTATAGAAACACTATCAAATATATACACTATCCAATATATACACTATCAAACTTATAGAAACACTATCAAATATATACACTATCAAACTTATAGAAACACTATCAAATATATACACTATCAAACTTATAGAAACACTATCAAATACATACACTATCAAACTTATAGAAACACTATTAAATACATACACTATCAATAATATATAAACTCTATCAAATATATATACACGATCAAACATATAGAAACACTATCAAATATATACAATATCAAGCATAAAGAACCTCTATAAATGACACTTATAAGAATATTTCTATTTTGTTACTCCTGTATCCTCTTATACCCTGTTTTCTCCGTGTATGTGTTCGTGAACGTGTAGGTGAGTGTGTCTGTTAGCACCATTTGTATGTATAAACTAGTGTAAATAGACTTAATAGTAAATACATGAAAGTTTCTGATAGCAAACCGTTTACATTTGTCCTTTGAAGAAACCTCGCATGTGACAATTGATCTGTTATGTTTCAGATATGTCAATACTCTCCAATTCTTCTGTCCCCGGAAGGACATGTTGGGAGGTGTTGCTTGGGGCTGGCACGTATGTAAGGGATTTTCTTCCAACGGCAAATGTCTTATATACCTGATCACGTGAGTAAATACCGATGTCAATATATATATATCCCTACTTTTGTTATTGATTTGGAGGATATTTAAAAGTTTCTCGTAAAATACAAATGTTTGCACGAGTATGACGTAGTAGCGTTATTTTTCATGAGTGGGAAGCCGTATGAGTGAAATATAATTGTTATTTTCGGCATGACCAAGGCTTTAATAAATCATTTCTAGGCCTATAAAGACAACCATGTACTGCAGGACTTTTATAGGATAAAGACAAAATAAACAAAATATAATTAACAAGTGTTATACTGAGTGCCGTGTGACAGGAATCCTGAACTGAAAACCAAATATAAAACTTCCATAGTGTCATTATTGTGGAAGACAGAAACTTGTGATTGCGTTAGTATTGAGGATGACACTTACCGGAAGATAAAACTGGTTTTATTAAAGAAAAAGAATCTAATAAAATCACCTCAATCTGAAAAGAAAAAGAAGACAACTATATTCTTTTAAAGAGGCACCACTCTTTCGCAATTAACCAGCAGAATTCGTTGAAACTTTCACGTAATGGTTATGCAACTATGTAGAGGTAATTTTATGGAAATACGACAAGAAAAATATGTGTATTACGAAGTCCTGAACATCGTTAGGTGCCATAGTACGATTTGATAGTGTGATTTCAGTGACGAAAAGAAAGAGGATGCGTCCTTGACGTATGACATTGACCAGGTGTACAACTGTGGCAGAAAACAGATACGTACTCGGTAAGTTACATCTTAACTAATACGGATCAGTAAAAGTTGTATCGATTTATGAAATGTTTCATAGGTGCTGATTTGACAAAAGATAGAATACAGAACACACATGTAAGACACACTTGATAACACGTGTATGTTGTACGACATCTATAGCTGAATGTGTATGCATGTGTGAACGAACCCCTTGATCTTTGATAAGGAATAACATGATTCTATTCGTATACGATAAAAGTGCTCCCGGTCCTCTATGATACATAAATACCAGTATGATAAGTGGGTCACTGTTCCTGTATGATAAGTGGGTCACTGTTCCCGTATGATAAGTGGGTCACTGTGTCTGTATGATAAGTGGGTCACTGTTCCTGTATGATAAGTGGGTCACTGTGTCTGTATGATAAGTGGGTCACTGTTCCTGTATGATAAGTGGGTCACTGTGTCTGTATGATAAGTGGGTCAATGTGTCTGTATGATAAGTGGGTCACTATTCCTGTATGATAAGTGGGTCACTGTTCCTGTTTGATAAGTGGGTCACTGTTCCCGTATGATAAGTGGGTCACTGTGTCTGTATGATAAGTGGGTCACTGTTCCTGTATGATAAGTGGGTCACTGTGTCTGTATGATAAGTGGTCACTATTCCTGTTTGATAAGTGGGTCACTGTTCCTGTATGATAAGTGGGTCACGTTTTCCTGTATGATAAGTGGGTCACTGTTCCTGTATGATAAGCGGGTGACTGTTCCTGTATGATAAGTGGGTCACTGTTCCTGTATGATAAGTGGGTCACTGTGTCTGTATGATAAGTGGGTCACTGTTCCTGCATGATAAGTGGGTCACTGTTCCTGTATGATAAGTGGGTCACAGTGTCTGTGTGATAAGTGGGTCACTGTTCCTGTATGATAAGTGGGTCACTGTTCCTGTATGATAAGTGGGTCACTGTTCCTGTGTGATAAATGGGTCACTGTTCCTGTAGGATAAATGGGTCACTGTTCCTGTATGATAAGTGGGTCACTGTTCCTGTGTGATAAATGGGTCACTGTTCCTGTAGGATAAATGGGTCACTGTTCCTGTATGATAAGTGGGTCACTGTTCCCGTATGATAAGTGGGTCACGTTTTCCTGTATGATAACTGGGTCACTGTTCCTGTATGATAAGTGGGTCACGTTTTCCTGTATGATAAGTGGGTCACTGTTCCTGTATGATAAGTGGGTCACTGTTCCTGTTTGATAAGTGGGTCACTGTTCCTGTATGATAAGTGGGTCACTGTTCCTGTATGATAAGTGTTCCTCTATGTGTGGTGAAGGTGCTGCTGTTTTGTATGTAGAATTCGTACCGTTTTTTGTATGTTGTTTTACTATGTTCAGAGCCATCAGAAAGGAAATACAAAGTTTGGATGCCGACACACCAGTCACGAACGCATTGGCGCAAAAGGTAACGATATGCTTTTACGCTACAGGATGTTTTGTTTTACGTCAGCAATTTTACTCACAATACTATTAATATTAACTCCAGTTGCCCCGTTAGCTGTGTTATTTTGAGACGTAATATTGTTTTATTTCAGGAAAGAGTCGACCTCCTTTTGATAGAGGGTGATGGATCTGACGACATTGTTACTGGACTTCTACGACGCAATGCACTTCGTCACGTCGATCAGTTGTCTGTAGTCTTCAATGCCGTTAATAACGTCACTTCCGTCTCCAACTACGCTACGCAAATCCTCCTTTTGAAGGCTCTTCATATTGAAGGATTCAGAATATTTAGTTTCGAAAGAGATCCAAAACATATATTCACAGATAACCCCTGGCGAACAGGAGGTTACACACTAAATATGGTAATATCTTACAAAGTGTGAATTATTATTATCAAAAGATAGAAAGTGCTGTATGCCATCTACAATTTGCATGTCGTCAGATTGATATTTATTGACAATCGATGGTTTATAACGCTTTTAGGAGTTGATCAAACGTTTTTGAACATTAATGTTTCAAACCTACCCGTGATGTCTGAGATATTGGCATTGAGCTCACTGCAGTGCAAATCAAAGATCCACCTTAGGACCATCCGTTCATTTGCCAAACCAAACGATATTCATTTTATAAGGTTACATTATCTCATAACACTATATTCCGTTCAGTTAGTCTTTATCAATGAACATTTGGTTTTCTTTTATTGTACTTCGGTTTTTGTATTTAATGGATATTTTACTTGTATGCGAGTTTCCATTTAACTTTATTTCTGTACAAGTAAAAGTCGCTTATTAGTTAAATGTGGTTTACATCAGATGAGAGAGAGAGGGGTGCATAGCCCGATGGTGATTCCCAAACCAAACAAGATGGCAACTATGACGCTCTTACAACTGGCCAGCACGTATCTAAGGTAAAATCGGTGCCAGCGTTGGGAAGTGATAGCAAAACTCACATTAATCCGGAAAACAAATGATCTAGTGGTATTATTGGGCTTGATTAAGTTTGACATCAATATCAGTGTGTGGTAAAGGGCCATAACACTATTTCATAAAGTATCCATAGACTGTTTATTGCCTCAGTCACAATTCACCTATACATATATGTACTTATAACAGAATACCAATGTAAATCAGCAGTGGTTTCTGATATATTTTAATTGTGTATTAAGTGGGTCGTTACTAGTATATTGCTGTCGACTGAGCTATACGTATAGAAGAATGCAATTGTAAACTTCCTCCTGTTTCTGTCATCGACTATAAATGTATTTGAGTTAAAATAAATAATATCCGGTTTGGTAAAGACAACCTAATAATACATTACTTGTATATTTGTAACTAGGCTATTGCTGTCGACTGAGATATATGTACGTATAGAAGAATACAAATGTTACATTTCTGTGGTTTTTGTTATTGACTAAATGTGTAAGTTTATTACATGTACATATGTATATTTGTTACAAGCTTCATAGCTGACGACCGAGATAGGGGTGCATGTACTTATAAAATAATGCAAACGTAAATTTTCGATGGTTTCGTTATTGACTAAGTGTGTAAGTTTATTACACTATATTTGTTACCAGCTTCCTGCTGACGACGGAGGTACTGTGTAAGGAGATACTACGGGTCGGTGACATTGACGATGGCGGTTGGGATGTGTGTACAGATGACAAGTACAGACCCGAGTCACCATGTCTAGTTTACTCATTTGGGTAAGGACAAGAACTTGAACTTATTTTGTATTTCACATAATCAAGCTTTGAGTTGGTTTGTTCGTGCTTTACGTCCTATTAACAGCTATGGTCGTTTAAGAACGTGCCAGGTTTTGGTGGAGGAGGAAAGCCGGAGTACCCGGAGAAAAAACCGACTTGCGGAAAGTACATGACGACAGTTCGACGTAGACCTCGAACCCGCGACCCAATGTTAGAGGGCCGATCGGGAACCGTCTGCACTTTCCGTAAATGATGACTGTTCCCGAAATAAACAAGGACATATGTCAAAACAGAGATTACACGTATAAGTATCCGGTCAAAATAAACAATTCATCTAAATCAAGAAATCACATTCATTAAGGAGGCTCCACCCTTTCGCAATTAGCCATCAGAATTCAATGAAAGTTTCACATGATGGTTATGTCACTATGTAGAGATGATTTTATGAAAATCTAAGTATTCCGATCAACTGGGGATTTATTTGTAAAAAATACCGAAAAATTGAATTTTTGTCAAATTCAACACTTTCACATTTTTTGAGCGTGTGGCATTGTTCAAAACTATTACAACAATAAAATAATGAAAAGAAACATTGCTAATCAACCCTGCAAATATTTTATTTATCATAAAATATCTACAACATGTTACAAAAAGCGTTTTTTATTGAAACTATATGGATAAAAGTTACTAAATACAAGCCAAAATCAAACAGGACACATATTTACATACAAAAAGAATGAAAAATTGAACCAAATACACACAAAGTCTTTATAATTAATTTATTTTACATTTTACAATTATTTTGATCCTGATGAGAGTTGTCTACCTTGAAAAAAATCGGAACTTTTTGCAGAGGGATAGAATTTATACAATGACACTTATTTTATTTAATATACCAAAAACGACGGAAATAAATTAAATTACTTTATTAATTTGTCAATTTACTGTTCTTTTATGGAACAAAATTACTCTCAATCATGTACACTTTGGACATCATTCCATAGCCTGCTTACGCATGGTATATTAACATGTCATGTACATATGTAACCATAGGCTATCGCATGGTATGCCGTTATTACTTGCACGCACATGCACTTGCATTTTATAGGGATCTTGATATTTTACAAACCACTTTTTCACAGAGTTATTGTAATTGCATTTGTGAACCGATTTATCTGACAGAGCGTAACTCGCTCGACAACAAAAGTCGTACCGACCAAGAGCTTTTGAACTACTGTTAGCACGTAATACGTACAGGTGAGGTCGGTAAACAAAACACATCAGTCTGCATTCCAGGCGCCTCATATACGACCTTCTTGAAGTCGTCTGATCGTATGTCAGTGTTTTCCCGCGAGTTAATTAATGTCTTTGTATCATAAGCTTTATTTCTGAAGTACGTGTGATTACACATTTCCAAGTTAAGTCTAGATATCGGGTGATGACATATCACGTCACGCACGTGTACTATTGTTTACCCGGTGTTACTATAATTAACACTACGGTAATGGAATGCCCGATACGCAATACGGAAATGACGACACGAAAATACGACAAGAAAAACATGTGTATTACGAAGGGTGGAAACTCCTTAAGTGCTGATATATTACTTCATACTTTTTCTTTTACAAAATTCGTTTCACTATTGGTATACTTAACAGATATACATGTATTTTATTGAAGCATTAAGGATGACTGGTCCTTTGATGAAAGAATGTCGTCCCGATTTGGCTGTGAAGTCCACAGCTTCGATCCAAGGTAATTTACCAATCATAACAAAATTTCTGATGGTATTACTGATGGGCTATCATACAGGCTTTTATTGGGAACAAATGTCATAAATTTCGAAGTACAATAATGCAGACTTTCCCGAGAACTGTACCTGTATGCTGGACCTCTCCGGTTTTGTTACTGTAACAACAGTAGGATGCGCTGTTGTACTCAGTAGTACTGTATAATCTATGATAAACAAGTCTGATGAAAGAGATAGAGTTAGTCCGGGATAAACACGTATGGATTTTATATATAAAGTTTGTTTGTTTGGGGTTTAACGTCTTCGCAACAGCCATGGTCATATGAGGACGGATGACTAGGGAAACACAACAGCCAGGGTCATATAAGGACGGGTGACTAGGGAGACACAACAGCCATGGTCATATGAGGACGGGTGACTAGGGAGACACAACAGCCATGGTCATATAAGGACGGCTGACTAGGGAGACACAACAGCCATGGTCATATAAGGACGGCTGACTAGGGAGACACAACAGCCATGGTCATATAAGGACGGCTGACTAGGGAGACACAACAGCCATGGTCATATAAGGACGGCTGACTAGGGAGACACAACAGCCATGGTCATATAAGGACGGCTGACTAGGGAGACACAACAGCCATGGTCATATAAGGACGGCTGACTAGGGAGACACAACAGCCATGGTCATATAAGGACGGCTGACTAGGGAGACACAACAGCCATGGTCATATAAGGACGGCTGACTAGGGAGACACAACAGCCATGGTCATATAAGGACGGCTGACTAGGGAGACACAACAGCTAGGGTCATATAAGGACGTGTGACTATGGAGACACAACAGTCAGGGTCATATAAGGACGGGTGACTAGGGAGACACAACAGCCAGGGTCATATAAGGACGGGTGACTAGGGCGACATCGCGGACAAGAGGAAAGTAGCCATAAAAGAAAGAAAACAGGAAAGTGATACAACGGGGGCACCCGGTAAAATTTTGGTCTCATCCATGTTCTCTTCATTGGAGACACGGGAGAAAACACCCGATTCTGCAGTGGGACCCATATAAGTCGAATTTTAGGAAACACATGGTGGGCCAGTGGGATACAACAGGTTTATTTTTGGTTCTTCAATATCCCCTAAACAGAAGAAAAGGAAGAAAATAGCCCCAATTTTATAGGGCGCCCGCATAGGTCGCCTCTTACAATCATGCTGTTTGATGCAGCGGGCCTATTCTTTCCCCGGCCCTGCACGGGTTTTTAAAATGAACTTGGTTTATCTTATCTATGATAAATAAGTCTCATGATCACAGGTTTGTCAGCAGTTTGCTCGAAAACTTTGCCAACAAACTCAATATATATATATTGTCAGATAGGAGTGCAAGAATTCCCATTATCCTCACTATGTCACATTTGTCAACTTGACATGTGTGGTGTTTTTACAAACAAATACTCAAAAATAGTTTTGAATCATATGATTGTATTGCCGTAAACGTTCTCACAATAAGAGAACGGAGGCGTTTGTCGTGAATTCGGTGTGTGTTATTCACACACCGTCACAACAAGTAGTTGTAAATGCTCTCAGCTCCTGAAATCAAAGACAAGGTGGAGGAAAATCACTCACGTGTTTTTCGTTCGAGTTCAAGATGCATAAGAGACCGCGCCAATACGTCACAGCGATGTTGTCGCGTAGCTCACGAGATCTCGTGTCGGCGCGGTCCAGGGTCCAAGGGAGATAACTCTCACGAAATTCACCACACGTTCTTTCGTGTGCAGATGGAAACGTCAAATATTCAGTTAAAACAAGACAAGGATTTTAAAGGCTGATGAAAGTATATTTTTATTTCTTCAAAATCCAATATACATTAATTCAACTCCTGTGACAATACGACTATAACCTTGGTGTATTGATACTAGGAGTGTACGGTGTGACAGTACGACTATAACTCTGGTGAGTGTACGGCGTGACAGTACGACTGTTACCCTGGTGTAATGGTACTCGGAGTGTACGGTGTGACAGTACGACTATGACCCTGGGTTAATGGTACTAGGAGTACACGGTATGACGATACGACAATAACCCTGGTTTAATGGTACTAGGAGAGTACGGTGTGACAGTGCGACTGCTACCCTGGTTTAATGGTACTAGGAGTGTACGGTGTGACAGTGCGACTGCTACCCTGGTTTAATGGTAGTAGGAGTACACGGTGTGACAGTACGACTACAACACTGGTTTAATGGTACTAGGAGTGTACGGCGTGGCAGTACGATTATAACTCTGGTTTAATGGTACTAGGAGTGTTGGCTTAATGGTACTAGGAGTGTACGGTGTGACAGTACGACTGTTACCTACGGTGTGACAATAGGGCTGTTACCATGGTTTAATGGTACTAGGAGTGTACGGTGTGACAGTACGACTATAAACCTGGTTTAATGGTACTAGGAGTACACGGTGTGACAGTAGGGTTGTAACCCTGGTTTAATGGTTCTAAGAGTGTACGGTGTGACAGTACGACTATAACCCTGGTTTAATAGTACAAGGAGTGTACGGTGTGACAGTACGACTATAACCCTGGCTTAATGGTACTAGGAGTGTACGGTGTGACAGTACGACTATAACCCTGGCTTAATGGTACTAGGAGTGTACGGTGTGACAGTACGACTGTTACCCTG